TCTACGCAGGCCCAGCTGGTGTGAGCACAAAGCGGGCTGAGTGGACACCCTCTGGCTCTGTCTGGAGCACGCCACCATCTGGGGAAAAGCTGAAGTGTCCATCACAGAGGAGAACCTCCACAGCTCTTCTGTGAGGCCCTGTTCATCTTGGAAAACCCCTTTGGCTGACCTCACTTTTAAAAAATGGCCCCAGGAACCTCCATGTTAAACAAGATTTCCACATTTTCTTTTTATAACTATTAACAAGTTTTCATTCATATCTTTCTATTTTAATATTATAGAAATGAATAGAGTGGGTGTTATATTCTCCCCCATATATTTTTTGGGAGGTTGAGTCAAGTGAGGAACAAATATATTAAGGAACTTGTTCAGACACCTTGAACCATGGATGCTTTAAATTGGCAAAAGTGGAGCTCCTACCTCAACTTCCTCTCTTGTGCTCTTTCTGTTTCCACATGGAGAGCTAAGGGCAGACTAAGTTGTCCCCACTTTTCAGAACAAGAAGCCAGATCCTAGAGATATGCTCTTGGTCCACAGGTATTAGAAGTGGGATGAAAAGATGGGAGGCATCCTGCTGACCTCCTTCTCACCCTTTCACTGGTGCCACAGAACCACATGAGGACCATGTTGCAGTCACAGAAGGTTCCACTAAGGCCAGAAGAAGAACCCAGGTTGGCTGGACCAAAGACCCTGCCGGGTTACTGACAGACCTAGGATCTGCTCCTGACCTTGTACAAACCATGCAGTGTGCTGGGGAATTTGGGGTAAACTACCGAATTTAAGAAAGTCACAATGTCTTCTTTTGTAATGTGGGGACTAAATTAGGACACTTCAGAGCCCTTTCAGATCTCCATACTTGCCTTCTCCATTTTGCAGAAAAATTTTCACTGCAGTTGGTGAAAGTATCAGGAATTATTTGATCATGCAAAAGAAAGACTTAGCCAGAAATTAGCCATTGCATTTTGTCTACCATATTTGATTTTTTTTTATAGAATTAGTTGATCTGCTGCTTCCTGTAGGTTATGTGTGTCTTGCCTCTCAATTCAGGTACATTTTAATTAGAGCTTCTTTAAATTTGAATTTCAAGGCCCTGAACACACACACACACACACACACACACACACACACACACACACAATATCTAATCTGTATGAGTTCTCCAGGAAACAAGGCTGAGCATCTGGACATTTCAATGTTATCTTTGGTGCACCCAGCCATTGCTCTCACGGCTTTATTCCCAGCAAACACAGAAAGCAAATATGGAAAGTCTCCTTCCTAATTTGAATGGAGGCAACACTTTCCTCAACCACATATCTTGCTTTAGGTTCTGTGGTCAGGGTTAGTAGAGAGGGAAGCATGAGCCAGAAAACCCAAAAGCAGAGAGTAAGCCAGAGTCATATACAACTTAGATGATAGTGTTGTTGGCTCTGTATCCCCGGAACTGAGCTACAAGGCCAGGTCTAAAAGGTGGGGAGGGGGCAAGTAGAAAAAGTGACTATGGTCTCTGCTGGTGGACACAGATTGACCAATTAGTTTGGAAAATATTGGAATAATTCAGGAATGTTTCTGTGGACAAAGTCCAGTGTACTTTTATTTCAACCAAGACATGGGCTTTTTCTTCATACAGAGATCTATGAGAGTTTGGTTTTAAGTTGTTCATTTTATGACATTTGTCTAACAATCCCCCACCACCACATTGATTATAATACCAAAATAATAAATTGATAATGAAAAAATTAAAAAAATACTTTATTACAAGTTATCTAGTTTCACTTCCTCTTCCCTATGTAAATGTTTTTATGCAAAATTTAAATATTCAGGTATAGTGAACTAAGCTTTGTTTCTTGTTTGAAATGTCAACAGAGACTTTATTTTTTTGGAAGAAGGAAAAGCTAATTTAAAGAGTAGACTAAAGCCACTATACCTAGGTAGAATATTACATGAGTAGAGAGAAATTGAAAGTCTACACACTTTTTTATGTGAAATAAATATGGACACATTTTAAACGATCTGGAAGATGGGATTCTTCACTTCCCGGTGAGATCCTGTGCTCTGAATCGAGTGTGTTGCTGCCCACCTGTCACTGCCAAAGAGTGAATGGGCTCCACAGAGAAAAGCTCGCTTCCTCCTTCACAGCAATAGATTTTGTTAAAACATATTACATGTATCTCTAAAATACTAGTAATTCATGGTCTGATTGTGTTCACTGTAATAAAATTGGTACAACTTTGTTTAACCACCTTTAAAGTGAAGCAAAATGTTTTGCTGACTTCTTAGGGAAAATCACCCCTATATTCATGGTTAAATATGGTTCTGGCAGTGCCATTTCAAATTATAAATTTCCAGGAGCTTATATTATTTCACTGATAGTGGAGAAAACATTTTCTTCACCTTTGCTCTACCATTTTTTAGGACTATAAATATAAAATCATACGTAGTAATTAAGCAAAATTGGCGGTCAAATGGCAATGTAAAATAAAGTATGGGAGGAGTAAAATTTTTATATGATTAAGAAAATCAATACATCTATTAATTTAAAAAGTATATTATGACATTGTACAGGGAGAGCAAAAGTAGGTTTGTTAAATGATACAATAATTAATAAATAAATAATGATACAAGACTAAACTCTGTGTTTCCTGTACTCACAACTGTGAACCTACTTTTCCCCCACCCTGTACATCTCTAATTTCTGATTCCATCTTTTGGTGCTCATGATAAAACATTTGGAAGTAGAAATAATTTTAACAGATCACTCATAATTTTAAATCCTAGACAAAATATTTAGAAAATGTTCTTTTTATCCCTTCTCTGTATATAATTTTTTTATTCTTCTATTATTTATTTTTCTTTTTTCCCATTGTGTATTTATTTATTTTTAAATTATTTTTCAACTACAGTATTCTTTCTTTTACTCCCTTCTCAGCCCCCCCGTGCCCCCCTCTAATATAATTTTTAAAAGGTTGTATTTATTTATGTTTAGAGAGGGAAGAGGGAAGGAGAAAGAGAGGGAGAGAAACATCAATGTGTGGTTACCTTTCACACGCCCCCTACCGGGGACCTGGCCTGCAACCCAGGCATGTCCCTTGACTGGAAATCAAACCAGTGACCTTTTGGTTCACAGGCCCATGTTCAATCCACTGAGCTACTCCAGCCAGGGCCCTTCTCTGTATATAATTTTTACCTGAGTAAGAGGTTATACCATTTGATGATTTGCTCTTTTCACTTAATTGCATACATGTGCAATTAAACTCTTTGTAAATATCATTTAAATATATTTAATATTAATTATTTAATTTGATATGAACAAAATAGTATTTTAATATGAGCATAATAGTATTCCATTACATAGAAGTACCATTATTCATCTAAATATCATCTATTCCTTCTAAAATTTATTTTATTTTTTAAAATTACAGTTAACATTCAATATTATATTAGTTTCATGAATACAGCATAATGGTTAGACATTTGTATAACTTAAGAAGTTATTTCCACCTCCTCAGTAGGTCTAGTACCCAGCTGACACCACATAGTTATTACAATATTATTGACCATATATTCTCTATGCTGTACCTTACAGCCTCATGACTATTTTGTAACTGCCAATTCATGCTTCTTAATCACTTCACCTTTCTCACCCACTCCTAACACCCATCTAAAAAAACAAAATAAACAAACAAGCAGCATCTATTCTTATACCTCACCCCAGTGTTTTGGGGTTTTTTTGTGTGTGAAAAACAATATTATGCTCAACATTTTTCACGCAACTCTTTGCCAGAATTTCTGATTACTCTTATGGGGTAGATTCCTAAGAGAGGAATTAAAATGTCAATGGTGTGAAGTTTAAAAAATATTTTGTGTAGAACTAGATATTTTTTCTATAAATTTTATTCCTAGCAGCAGTATTTGAAGGGTTTTTTTTTTTCACTACACCCATTGAGGGTGGGTTCTAGGCCCACAGAATCCTGAGGTTGCATTGAGCTTTCCATCAATAAGGTGGAATGTCTAGAAAGATGAAACGCTGTGTGACTGATGCCTTCACTCGTCACCTTGTGTGAGTATCTAAGTCTTGACCTTACAGTCAAATGGCGAGTGTCTGGTGGGGAAAGCCCAATTTGGTATTTCTAATTCTCCTTGCAACATCACCTTAGATCAATGTCCCTCTCAAGACTGATATATACATTTATGGAAGAAACAAAGAACTAAAAAATAAAAATGACAAGTTTATACTTCACCTTACTCTGTTACCTGAGGGAAAGACACTTTCAACATTTTATACTTTTGAGACTTGAGTTTTTCTTCAAGTAAAAATGACTAGTCTATTAAGCAAACAAGTGCACAACCCTTGTGTAGTTAGTACACCAGTCTGGGGAGGTGGATGTCCCAGTCCACACACCTTTGCCTGCCTGGCAGAGTTCACTCGCCACAGAGGCCTCTATGCGGGGGGGAGCCCAGGGTCCTGTTCCACGTGGCTAATATTTTCTGGAGGTCAGGAACCAGGAGCCACAGAGGAAGACTCCATGTAGCTCACCACGGAGAGACATAGCACTCAGTTATTTTTCGCTGGCCCTTTCCTCTGCCCCATTTCTGCTGCTGCTATGTGCTTAGGCTTTGCTGGAAGCTGGGCCCAGGCACGAGGGGGGGTCTGGGGATGGATTCACAGTCCTCAATTCAGGAAGGAAAATCTTAGGGCTAGAAAAGGAAGTGGCTAAAGTCTAGGCCTCCTGAGTCTTATTACTGTGGGTTACTGAGACTCAATGCCATGGCTCATACAGAAGTTATTTTAAAATTAGGCCCCTTGGGAAGAATAGGGCACCATCAGTTAGGGGAATGGGAATTCTGACATCTCCAGAAAGCTCTTCTCCCTAAGGTTTCTGTGGGCCTGTTTTTACCCTGGTGGTGGGAGCTGTTGCTCTTCCTTCCCCAGCAGGTCCCTCTGTGGTGCCTCAGGCAGAGGCCCAGTGTCCCTCCCCGGTCTGCCAGTTACCAGCCCTTACCTGGCAGCCCCAGCAGGGTGAAGTAACCTCGGCACTCAGTGAAGCCGGAGCTCTCTCGGACACAGGAGCGCCATAGCCCTTGGTAGTTGAATACAGCTGTCACTGGGTTGTTGTACAAATCCTGGGTACTCCACTGGTCCATGCAGGTGGCGGCAATGGCACCGGCAGTCCCAATCAGTGAAACTACAAATCCCAAGCCCTGGCAGGCAGTCACGGCCATGGTGGGGTGCAGCGTTGACACAGAGCACCACACTAGAGAGGGACAGCCCAGTTCTGAGAGTGTTGAATGTAGGGATAGAATTTTCTCTCAAAGGCTGGTGCCTACGTCACAAATGGGCCGTGAAATGGAGGGGGAGACTCAACAGTGCCACCTGGGCTCACCCACTCCTTTATCTACCTGTGTGAGATAATTTCTACAACACGGTACCAAGACCCATTTGTTTTCCACCATGTGTACACTCTCCTCACTGTTTACCTTTTGAGGGAGTTTCTTTCCTGATTAGTCAGGTTCCCCTCTCTAGAGGGTAAAGCCGGTGCAGAGGGCACTGCCTGAAAGACCCAGCAGCTTGGCCAAGCAGGGCCTCCAGGTGCTAAGCCACAAAATACTTGGAGATAAAGGGCTTCATTCTGTGGCCCTTCCAAGGTGCCACTGCTGCTTTAATGAAAAAACCTAGGCAACGCTAATTATGAGGCAGGATGAAGTACAGTGATTCTCGTTAACCATGGTAGTTATGTTCTATAGAGTCACCAGGAACACTAAATTAGCAAATGCTGACTCATTGCCCCTAGGGGAAATACAAGGTTAATTTTCTGTGAGCCTCTGGTCACATTTTCATCAACCAATCAATAAATAATCTTGTTTTATGTATGTTTCTGTTTAAAGATACCCAATTTAATATTTAGTGTTGATTCATTAATACTAAACTAGTTGCCAACCTAACTTTAACTCATGCCTGAACGAAGCTCATTTAATGCAAGCTTTTCTCTGTAAGGTGCATAGTAGCTTTTTTTTTGTGTGCTTGAAAACACTAGACAGCACTTCAGCACTTTAAACAGATTTATTTCACAAAAATGTGAAAAACATGGCACCAAATATACTGTGAGAAGGACACTTGATTATAGTAGAAGAGCTGAAGCAAGAGGGTGGAGCTTTGCCTAGTTCCACCTCAGGTGAGAACATGCACCTCTGGCAGCTCAAATTCTTTGTCCTCTGCACGTGCACACGTCCAATAATAACTGAGGACATGTTTTGAGTATTGATTTTGGGGTTAAAATGAATTTTAGTGACAAGGTAAATTTGAAAATTTGGATTTGCAAATAATCAACTGCACTTATAATGATGGAACCAAAGAGTTAACATAGTCAGCCTGTCTGCAGTTTTTGTGGCATCGACTCTGCCTTTAGCAGAGAGACCATGGAGGGGGCAGGCAGCAAAGGTAAGCAACAGGAAGGCCGCTGGGCTCTGGAGCTACACAGCCTGGGTTCAATCTCACTCCACTGCTGACTAGCTGTGCGGGACAACAGCTAAATCACTTAACCTCTCTGAGCCTCATTGTCTTCACCTCTACAACGAGATAATCATTTTTCTTCCTGATTGTTTTGTGAACTAAATGTGATTATGCACATGAAATGCTTAGCAATATACTCCAATAATAATAGCAAATACAGTTGGCCCTCCATATCTGCAGATCCCAAATCTACAGATTCAATTAATCTCAGGTGGAAAATATTCAGAAAAAATAGTTACATCGTTGTTGATGTGTGCTATGTAATTAGGCCTATGATGGTAGTGTCTGTACTAAACATATACAAATGTTTTCTGTCATTATTCCCTAAACAATACAGTATAACAAATACTTACATAGCATTTACATTGCATTATGTATTATAATTATAGAGATGAATCAACAGTGTGGTGATTGATGTAGGGGGGTGGTACTAGAGGACTAAATAGTAATGGAAAAAATACAATAAAGATTAAATTAAGCCCTGGCTGGTGTGGCTCAGTGGATTGAGCGTGGGCCTGTGAACCAGAGTATCACGGTTCGATTCCCAGTCAGGGCACATGCCTGGGTTGCAGGCCAGTTCCCAGCAGGGGACCCATGAGAGGCAACCATACATTGATATTTCTCTCCCTCTCTCCTTCCCTTCCCCTCTAAAGATAAATAAATAAAATCTTAAAAAAAAGATTAAATTAAAAACACCAAACAAAGTATATTGGAGGATCTACATATGTTATATGCAAATACTACACCAATTTTTATAAGCAACTTGAGAAACCATGGAGTTTGGTATCTATGGGAGTCCTGGAATCAAACCTCTGTGCGTACCTATCAATGACTTTATTACCAGGGCAAAGTGACAGTAATATAATAAAAAGCTTTGGTGATCGACTAATCAGTCTTACATTATATTTCTTCACATCAGTCATGAACTGAAGCTTAACTTCTCATACAAAGTATTTGTAATTATAGAAAGGCTTTTAAAATTTTTCATCCAAATATTATCCTACCTACTTTGAACCTGGATTCAAGTCTCAACTCTTTTTACTAACTCACAGAATTATATTATACATTGTTGGTTAGCCAACAATGAGGTTGGTTGAAAGAGGACCTCAAGCCTCATGTGAGAACCATAGTCATGGCCAATACCTTGATCTAAGCCTGGTGAGACCTTGAGAAGAATATTCAACCACATCATGCCAGACATCTGACTTACAGAAACTGTGAGATAATACATGGGTGTTTTTTGAAGCTGCTAAGTTTCTGAGAACTTGTTAAGGCAACAATTGAAAACTAACAACAGGTAATTAACACATTAAATCAGCTGAACACTAATCTGAAAGAACATAAGGACCCCTATGTTCATTACAGCAAAATTTACAATTGCCAAGATATGGAAGCAGCCAAAGTGTCCATCAGTAAATGAGTGTGTGGGACATTTACATAATGGAATACTACACGGCCATGAAAAGAAGGAAGTTTTGCCCTTTGTGACAGTATGGATGGACCTGGAGAACATTATGCTAAGTGAAATAAGCCAGTCAGAGAAAGACAAATACCATATAATTTCATTCATATGTGGAATCTAATCAACAAACTGAACTAAAAAGCAAAATAAAGACAGACTCATAGAGAGCAGGTGACATCTAAGGGGGAGAGGTTAGGATGTGGAAGGATTGAGCAAAAAAGAAAAAGGACTAATGGACATGGACAACAATGTGGTGATTGACAGGGAGGAGTATAGGGAAACTAAATGGTAATGGAAAATATTCAATAAAAATATTGAGAGCAAAAACCAATAAATCAACTGAAGTTAGCATTCACAAACTAGAAGATAGAACTGAGAAAATTATGTCAAATGTAGATAGAAATAAAAAAATGGAAAACATGAAAGAGCAAAAAGAGATGTGGGGGATAGAATGAGAAGCTCCAACATATATCTAATAGGAATACTGAAAGAAAAGAACAAGAGAATGAAAAAAAGACAATATTTGATAAGATATTGGCTAAGAATTTTCAAGAATTGAGAAAACAATTCCATATTAGGGATTTACAATAGTTTCATGAAAGGTAAATAAAAAATCAACATCTGGTTGTATTGAAGTATCGCAAAAACAACTGTTGGGAACTGCCCAGCCTGGTTTCAGGAATTGTAACTGCCCCCCATGGCTAAGCGACTGACCTTCAGAATTCGAGCCACAGGAGACAAAGCTTGTTTCTGGCAGTAGATGCTGCCCCTACTTCATCTCCCTGCCCCCAGAGCATGGTCAATGTCGATGGTGGTTACAACCCCTCAGAGAGGGGCAACCTAGGCCAGACATGATCACTTGGGAGGCCATCATAGAAGGACTCGGGGGGGGGGGGGCTGCAACAAAGAGGGAGTGATGGACCCTCATCCCCTGGCTATTGTGCCATAGCCTGAATCCCCATTTTCATCTGGGAGAAGCACTTCTTGACTCTAATCCACTTAAATCTAAAAACCTATGATGGGGAAGGCGGTGCAGCCCTGTGCTGGAAAGGGTGGGTATCCAGGGTTCCAGGGTAAATCAGGCCTAAGAAAGAATACATAAAGTCCTGTGAAACCTGCTTTGTTTAGAATGCTCTCATTTAAATGATAAGGATTTAAGCAAGAAGTTTGTTCCTCAAAGTTTTATGGCGCATTAGCTATCTGACCCTGACTGAGAATAAGCCCTCATAGTTCTTTGAATGATATCTGTTGTTTGATCCTCACCTGCATTCTTGTGCAAAAAAAAAAAACCCAATAAAAGCCCCTTGATCAGAGAGCTCTTGGCCCTTCCCCTTTGAGGGATTGGCCACCTCCTCAAGCAGATCATGTCTTGCTAGTGTTTACTTTCATCCATGGCAGATGGGGGTGGGGGGTGGGGGCGGAGGACATGTGGGAAAAGTTGCCCCCACAAACAACAAAGATAAAGACAAAAACCTTTTAAAAACCTGAAGGAATTGTAGCCATTATATTAATTGCAGCAATAGAAATCAGAAGATGACAGAATTAAATCTTTTAAAACTGTGAATAAAAACAGCTATAAACCTCAGGTCAATGAGGAGACAAGCCACAGATAGATTATATTTGCAAAAGAAAAATATTTGCAAAAATATTTTTATCCAGAAAATTTTTGAACATAAGATTCTCACCTAAGTATGCAAAGCACTGTTAAAACTCAACCACAAGTAAATGAATGATATGATTTTAAAATGAGCAAAATATCTGAACAGTACTACATCCAAGAAAACATATAGATATCAAACATCTGAAAAGATGCTCAACATCTTATACTGCTAGGAAATTGTAACATAAAACAAGATACTACTACTTACCTATTAGAAAGGCTAAAATTCAAAACACTAACACAAAACCGACAAAGATACGAAGCCACAGGAACTCTTATTCTTTACTGGTGGTGATGCAAGATGGTACAGACACTTGAAAAGACAGTTAGGCAGTTTCTTACAAAACTAAACATACTTTTACTGTATGATCTAGCAATCATGCCTTTTGATATCTACTCAAGTGGGTTGAAAATTTATGTCCCCATAAAAGCCTGTACACAGATGTTAATAAAAACTCTATTCATAATTGCCCAGACTTGGAATTAACCAAGATGTCCTTCAATAGGTAGATGAATAAATGAACTGAGTAAGAAAGATCAGTGGTTGCCAGGGGCTCGAGACTCAGGAGGAGGGCTGCACAGGAGGAGCACACAGGGTTGTTAGGGCAGTGAAGCTATTCTGTATGATACTACAATGGGTGAGCACATGTCATCATACATGTG